TGTTATCTAGCTTCATATTCTTAAAAAAGACCTGCATATGGCATTGAATATCTAGTGCTTGATGGGTAGAACATGCTGCCTCACTTGTTTTCCATTTGACATGGCTTGGCATTCTAATGCTTTTGACAGCAGTATTATAAGTATAGTTTTGTTTTCTAAGGAAAAAAAAACTGGTGGGATAAACCCCACCAACAGAATTACTGAGATTGAGTACATAGGAATCACCTTGACAAGGGTCAAAACTTAGAACATCTTCAAGATGATGAGAGAAATCATTTATTAGGTAAAGGCCCAGTTGATTAATGCAAGTAGTTGTTATACTGTGCTTGTTTCATATTGTTGATCAACCTATTTCTAATTTTCTGAAAGCATTCTTCTGTGATATAATTTTAGGAATTTGGAAACTTCTGATTAATGGCAGCAACCATTGCACTATCACATCATAACATATTCACACATTTTAGGATTCATAAAGCTCAAATCAAGTTTTAAAATTAATGGCACTACCACTGATTGAGCATCTTGAGATAGCTATATTGTGCAAATGATATATGTTGGAGGATGCATTATCAAAAGTAGTGTGTTGGTCAATTTTACAGAACACATTGCACATGATTTAACAAGCGCTCAAGTTAGTTTTCTTTTTGGTTAACTTTATTGTTCTTTTGGTATTTATTGCAAATGATCATGTCAAGTTGTCAACTTTAGCTTCTGATCAAGGTATAAAAAACATAATATACAGATTTATGGAAAACCAAGTGTATTTGGTCTTATTGGTAGACAATATGGAATTTTTTCAACTTGAGTGAAAGAACTATAGGGTAACTGTATGATACATTATGGTTTACATTTAGATAAAAGACCATGTTAGTCGTTATACTGTACTTGAAGATCAAATAGCTAATTTGATGACTAAAATATGGAAATCGGCATCATTATGTTTTATTGGTTTTAATGAATGTAGGTTCAGGGGCATAGTCTTGGTCAACTACTTGAAATTTTGGCCCAATTGGAAATTTGTGCTTACAATGAGCTGGCATTAGCTAAACACCTTCAGAACATTTTCTCTCTCATCTTTGTGTTTTACCCATCTTGTTATTCTAGTTACACCTTACTTACCGTGCTTTGTGGGCTTTTTCTTTAAATTTTTTTGGCTTCCATGTTGTAGATTTCTGACATCAATATTTCCATTCAGCAATTAGTCAGCCTTAATTTGTTGGATTCTCATTAAGTGCATACTATCTTACAGGGTGGATTTATGTGTTGGAGATGGCTTTGAAAATTTTTTCATTTGGATTTGATGCTTATTGGATGGATGGACAAAATCGATTTGATTTTGTGATTACATGGATAATTGGTAAGAATATTTATGCAGCAACTTTGGCAATCATTTGGGCGAATTTTTTGTTTATAGTCAAGTGTTGATATATGGACTTGTCTAGTTAACCATCAACCTTAGTTGTAATGCAACATTACTGTTGATTGATTATCATAACAAGTTTTCTTTTGGGTTCTTTTTGTGCACAACAACAACAAGAAAAAAATAGCTTGGTGTACGAGGCTCCCACCAATATGGGGTTTGGAATGAGTTGATGTATTGTACGAGTACAACTATAATGTTCCAAGATGAAAACTCCAAACAAGGATTGCAATTTTGTACTTGTGTACTGTACTGATCCTTAGCCAGATTGACACACGTACAAACCGTTTCCAATACAATCGATTAATTTCAGTGTTCTGACATATGGTATACCAGTATGTATCGAAGAGGTAGAAGAAGAATAAGAGGTGATGGTGGGGGAAGAGGATGAAGAAGGAAGAGGAAGGAAGAAGAGGAGGTGGTGGAGGAAGAGGAGGAAGGAGGAAGAGGAAGATAGAAGAGGAGGCAGTGGAGGAAGGAGGAGCAAGAGGAAGGAAGTGGAGGCACCTAATTGTTCAACTTTGTAAATATTTCTTAATCTCTCTTAGTGGTATCTTTGAACAGCCATCCATCGATTTCAACGTTCTCATCTTAGCATTATGATCCATAAAGCATAGATAGCCTTATATTATGATGCTTGGATTCTTTTGTCCGCTATCACACCTGCGTCAACATTACAGAAGATGGGTGTTCATATAAGGTTTTAGCTGGTTTCCCTTACAGCCATTCTAACTCTGTTGGACTCTTGGTTTGGTAAATTCAACCTACTCTGTCACCTACTAAGAAGAAAAGGAACAGCTGCAATGACTAACCAAAGCCAAGGAAGAAGAAGAAGAAAATAAAAAAAGAGAGAAGAAAGTCTAACTCTGTTGGACTATATTAATTTGGTCAGTTCCAACCGGTCTGTCACCAATGAAGAAGAAAAAGAGCAGCAGCTGCAATAACTAACCAAAGAAAAAGAGGAGAAAGAGAAGAGAAAAGGAGAGAAGAAAATAGGAGGAGAAGAGAAGAGAATAGAAGAGACGAAATGAAGAGCAAGAAAAGTGAAGAGAAGAGAACAAGTAAAGTACCTAATTGGTCTCATAGTCACAAATATAGTTCGAAAATGCATGAAAAGTGAAAAGATTTAAATGTATCATTATAGGTTGCTATGTCAACCTTGATTAGACTACAGTTGAACTTAGACTTTATCCTGGACTTGGTCAATTTAAGTGTGATTGTACTAACACGAATGCATCATATCCTCTTTGAACCTCAAGTACAAGACTTTAGGAATTCCTGTACAAGATTTCACTGAACACTCTTATTTGTTCGCTTATTGAACTTCAGGATCAAGTTTGAGTCACTTCCAAAACCTTTTAAGTCATCACATGCTTCTGCCAAATTATCAACTTGTCTTCAGTGAGTAGTATTTGGTCCATCATTGCCTTTTGTGAGTTGAAAAATCAAGTCAATTTTTTAAAACAATTTGAATAGCATTATGGCAATTAAACTAAACTGAATTAGATGACTCAAGGTGCCGACGTTAACATATCTTGTTTATTAAGATTATCAGTTTTAAGTTTAATGACCTCATGAATATAGTAAGAACTAGTTTTGTTTAATTGAAGTACTTGTTTGAAGACTAAATAATTTAGCCTGCATATTTCTATTTGAACAATCTTTCTATCTCTCCAATTCCAGTGCCCCAATATCTGTTTATTGACAGTTTCATAATTCTTATGAAAGTTTGCTACTGACCTATTTTTTTAATTCAGACATGTATAATGCTATTTGTTTCTTCTTGGTTTGATAAATGCCACTCTCATTGTCATGTCTATGTGAAAAATGTGCTTGGTGTCTATATTTTACAGTTGTTGGAGAGACTATGACATTTGCCTTCCCATCCGTGCTTCCTTTTCTTTCAAATGGCGAATGGTAATGTCAGATAATTCCACAGATTCTTATTGTTTAGCTACCATTGTCATATTATAAGAAGACAGAAATTTTAGATCTGTTAAACTTTCATCAAGTATGATTGAATTTGGGATTAGTTTCATTTTCTGCAATTCAACAAGCCAGGCTGTTTATTTAACATACAAGAGTCTACAACTGGGAAGTGAGGAGAAGAGGTACTTGGACTAAAGACAGAAATGGATGGAACTTTTCTATGACTAATAATGTGAATAAAAGGAAATCTTCTTCCTATGGAGCTAAACCTCCATACAACTATCCCTCACATCCCTGGTGGAAAAAGTGAGGATTGAAAATATAAAATTCTGTAAGTACCTATAGATGAATATTACTTGTCTAGCCTACTAAAAGGAAAAATGTTTGATGATGATACCAAATTTTTGAGAAAAGAAATTGTGTTTAAGATGTTGGAGTGAGGAAACTTTTGTAGAAATTGATATCCCTTCCTTGTAAGATTCTGGGGTTAGGAAACTTCAGAGTACCCTTTGCTTGAGCCTATGGGTCCCTATTGGGAAATATTTCAAACGTCAAAGTTCAATCATCATATTTTGGTAGGATGTCTAGCTTGAGAACTGTGCTACTCTTGCTTTAGAATTTTAATTTTGTTTATCACAGCATCTTTAAACCAAATATTGCAGTGTATTACACTCAAACTTGCCCTCTTGTCTTTTGGTGCCTAGTTACTTCTTTTGCTCTTCTGTAATTCAGTGATTCCTACACCTTATCACATGATTGTCTGTCCTCATCTTCTCTAATGGATTGGATAATGTGTCTTCTTTGTTGCTAGGTTTACTATGTTTTTATCACATTATCTAGAATCCCATTTACCCTATAAAACCCAAGATTTTATATGGTCGTTTATTAGTCCTAGGGTAATTTTTACTGAGGTGCTGGTGACAAAAGGTTAAGGGAATGATCCCTCCTGTGCGATGTGTGGAAACCAAATTGATTACAAATGATATCCTCTTCTCCAATTTTTTTGTGGTTCACCCTTGGATTTGGCATTAAACTCCTGTAAATAGTTTCCCCTTTATCTTATCTTGAGGGACAATTGGAGTCTGGAGACTCCACTTGATCACATGATATTAGAGAATTGGTTGTGATATCTTTGGAATGCTTTTCTTTTTTGCTTATTTGGAAAACTAAGAACAACCAAATCTTCAAGGACAAATTAGTCATTGTCATGGAGCTTCTTAAGAAGCAATACACCTATCATTTCATGAAAGTAAAAAAGAAAGGGCAGTCTGAGATAAAATCTCTTTATTATCTATTAATATTGGGTTCTCTTTATTTCTATTTTTTCTCTTTAACATATTATATTTATATAATTTAGTAGGTACCCTCTTTCTCTTGATATCCTGTTGTCAATGTTGTATACATGAAGTATAATTTAGCATGTATACCTTATATAGCCTTGCTGTGGATGTTTGCTGCAGTTTTTGCTTATGTATATTTAGATCTTAAGAGGCCTTAGAACTGGGATATTTTGCCATTTAACTGCTTCCTAGAGTGATAATAATGGTTATTTCTTCTTCCTTTTTTTTTGCTAACGTATTGATGATCTACTTGTGATTACAGGATTCGCTACCTTCTGATTGCAAGGATGTTGCGCTTAATAAGGCTTCTACTACATGTCCAGCGCTATAAAGCATTTGTTGCAACATTCCTAACTCTTATTCCTAGTCTGATGCCATACCTAGGGACTATATTTTGTGTACAATGCCTTTATTGCTCACTTGGAGTACAGGTATACATTCTTGTTCTGGACTCACAATCATTGGCGAAGCTCCATTCCTAGTTTGATGCCCTATTTTATGTTCTACGCATTTATTGCTCTCTCAGATTTACAGTATACTTTTTACTTGTCCTACACTTGCAAATATTGCACAAATTTACCTTTGGAGGGACTAACTACTGGATTAAGCAGAATGTGTAGTTCCTGTATTTTTTTTCTTTTGTTTAATAGGGAGATATAAGTATCAGATTAGTAAATGGAAACACTATCACACTAAGTATCATATAAGTCAACGGAAACACAATTACACTGTGTGCAAGTCATGATATTTTCTATCAAGTTATAAGGACTTATCTTGAAGAAACCTACTTGACCAAATCACCAAATTATAAGAACCATGTACCATATAATGTGGAACAATAAAAAAGAGGGTGACAGAATTTGGGATATGAGAAAAATAACTTCTTTTCTTGGGATAACTTAGAGCTTAGAGCTAAGGTCCATATCAATATATGGATTCCTACAGGCTAATATAGGAATATGCCTCAGAAGCTCATTCTCCTCTCCTTTAATAGATGGTTTGTACATTACAGACCTTAAGTATCAAAACACTAAGACACAAATTACAAAACATCATTAATTAATGGTGCCTTATAAGTTGGCAGTTTGCAATTATAAAAGCTTGTAAATTGTGGCTTGAAACTTGAGACAATTTTTTTTCAATACTGTCATTAATCCAGATTTATTTTTTTTGGGGCAAAGCCTGCAAAAATAAACAGGTATAATTTGAGGGCTTATAAGAAAAAGAAAGAGAAATCTTCTAACATATATGTCAGTGTCAGTTTGAGATTAGATTTTGATCCACTCTGGTGCTGCATCACCATGGCAATTGTAATGTCATTATCCTGACTAACACTATGATATTGGTATTTGGTAGTTCTATATGAAGAATGATTGTTTCGTAAGGGTTGATCACTAACTTTCTTGTACCAACTGACTGCTGTCACCCACTTCTGGAGACCTTTCCACATCCATAGTAGCAGACGAACAATTATGCATTTGCATATGGTGTGTAAAATTAAACATGATAATGATGTTTTCTTTACAACGGCTGCAAGTCCTTTTCTTTTCTTTTGCTTAAATGCACAAGCAAAATGTAGATATGCATGGTTCTTCACTATTAACTATCAATACAAAATGTTGACCGAAAGAAACTTGTAAAAACTTGGTTAGGCCACCTGTATGGTGCTAGTTGTACTCTTGCTGTTTACAGTTTTTTGGTGAAGTTGAATGCACAAAATTCCCTTAAAAGATCTCTTGAATATGAAATTAGCGTATTAGTTGTTCAACTATGACTTGAAAACTTACTAATGGTTGTTCTTACTTTCTAGCTGTTTGGTGGAATCGTAAATGCTGGAAACCCTAAACTGGAGATGACTGATCTTTCTGATAACGAGTACCCTTCTGTTCCTTTTTCTATTTTTTACCAAATTAATTTCAAGTACTGTATATTTAACAGGATGTGGCATATTTGCATATTCCCTCTTATTCTTGTTTGATATTTTACTTCAATTGACATAAGCATTTCCTTGGAGGCTTGATTTAGTTATATTACCAAAATTTATCTTGCTTGCTGACTGTTTTTCTTGATGTATTATAGCTATTTGCTTTTCAATTTTAATGACTACCCAAATGGAATGGTGACATTATTCAATTTGCTAGTGATGGGAAATTGGCAAGTATGGATGCAGGTATACTTTTTTCATAAGAAAACCCTGTTATTTATATGCATATATTGACATATTATTATACTTATTTGTCACCAAGCACCAAGGCACTGTTTGACAACATACGCATTGAGAAAATATTCACTCCATTTCATCTCGGCTTCTGAAGTTTGGGGACATGAAAGAGTTTCAGAGAAATATTTACTCCATTTTATTTTGGCTTTTGAAGTTTGGGGACATGAAAGAATTTCAGAGAAATACTACTTGGAGTGGAAAGAGGAATGCAAGGTGTTCCAACAATGACCATACATGATCTCTAACATTGGTTCTCGCCCCGTCTCAACATTGGGACTTGGCACATTTCCATTTTTCCCTCTTTATTATTCATTTGTGGTCCATGGATTCTACATAACAGTGCAGTAAATGTGAAAAAGAGAACATGTGGAAAGTGGAGATTAGTCATGAAAATCTGTTCACACACTTCTGATGAATTGACTTTAAGCTATGACATTGCCTAAGGGACATCCAAATTCTGCAAACCAAAAATGCCAAGTATAGAATATCTTTTTCTGACTGCTATTGAAATGTCTAGGATAAGCTGATAAGTAATATATGGTCTTAAAGCAGTTCTCCTAGTGACATGCGACAAATTGACCACTAAGGGTCTAACTGAATAGAGTATGTTAGAAGAAGATGCAAGATAAATGTACACCCGAAGTATTCTCATTACTGTGTACTAATTGTTCAATAGTCTGTGGATAAGTAACTGGGAATAAACCTGTATATACCTTCCCATTAAACGTAATTTGTCAGAAGAAAATAAAATTGACCAGGTTGTCCATTACATAAATGTTTCATGACTCATTTTATTCAAAGAAACAAGCAAATATCTGTGTAAAATGTATATTAAAATACTCTTGTCTAATTCTTACTGAATTAATGCATTTAGCTATATAAAACAAAAAATTGTGTAACAAAGGTAACTTTCAAGTTTGATGTATCTTCATATATGATCAGTGTTACACGAATGACATAATTGTATTTCTAGTATCAATTGACACACTGATATGAACACCACTACCATAATTTCTGCAGTGATCAAACTTATTCTATATCATGATTCTGACATGATGGATGGATCTCTTATTTTATCAAATTTATGCCTAAAAGAAGAATAATGATCTCTGAACTCTGACATATTTCATCCATGGAATTATGAAAATAAGTTTTCATAAGATCATAAATGGTGTTATTTTGTGAGTTAGTTCAACAAAATTTTACCTAGATTATTACACCAATAATTGGAATGATTACCAAAAGATGCATTTTCCACCATGAACCGATGTTTAATTTTCAAGCGGATTCAACAAAAGGAGAAGAGAATATCTTGTACATATCTCAGCAAGTCACTATCTTAAAGAAACTGCCAAAATCCCATTTGCCTGAAAAGCAAAAGGAAACTGCTGAAAGATAGCTCAGTCATATCAATGTAATGGTTTCAAATTTTAGAGGGGAAAAGCTTATTAGATAAATAAGAGAGATGATCTTGTTTGGCAATAAGGAAGCAAGTATTGCTGCGATGTGGATGGTAATATAGGTGTGGGTTTACTTCTTACTCCAATAAACAAATGAGTGGGGCAGCTTTGGTGATAGGTACAATTAATTAAAGTGGTTTGGTCCATGCACCGGTTAGAAGACTTCAGGTGTTTCAGTTTAGTGGTGAAAGGATAGGTAGAACGAGGTCTGCAAGAAACTTTGTGAGAAACAACAAAAAGGGATTTAAAAGCTATTAATTTGCCTATTTATGCTTCATGATAGCTCGATAACATAACAAGATCCATGTAGCTGACCTAAAGCCCAAAGAGTTGGGATGTTGGGAATATGCTGATAGATATGCTCTTGGGCTTCATGTGCTCAAGTGTCAAGTATGTCTTGATTTATGCTGTTATCTATGCTTTTCTCAATCTACATATGCCAAAGCTTTGACATTTTAGCAGTAATTTCATGAACTTGAATGTTGTATTACTAGCAAGTAGCAAGTGCTTATGACTTGCTTTTCTACAGAGCTACAAGGATTTAACAGGAACTTCTTGGAGTCTTGTATACTTCGTCAGCTTTTACCTTATAACAGTCTTGCTGCTTCTTAATTTGGTGAGCTTCTTATGTAAATTTGTTAATGTTTGCAGCGCTATGATTTTGGTTAATGATTATGTTATTCAAACCTTAGGCATCTAGATTTCATGTTCTTCATGTGTGATGGGTCAAGTTTTGAAATTTTACTATTGTTGTTTGGAAAAGACCCTGATGCCTATTTTTCAGTCATAAAGTTCACTTGACTAACAAACTCTTAAACCAATTTCTAAAGTAGATATAATTCCTTTTCTGACTGTAGCAAATACTTCTGCATTAATATTATTAATTGGTTATCAATGAACCATAATTCAAAGGCATAAAATCACTCTTATCAATATTTTACTTCAATGATCTTTGCTACATTTTCTAGCTTGGGTGTTTTGTAATACAATGGAAACATACTTCCTTATTTTGCTGGTATGTGTTCACCAGAAAGTTAATGGACCTTTCTCTGCTTAAGTGACATTGTAATTATCTGAGCCATTCACCCACCATCCACCATGGGCATGGGTGCCAAGCACTTAAATCCAATTTCTCTAAGTTGAAAGTGTAAAGACTTTCATGAAGTTTAAATTGCATGGAAAAGAGTTACCTTTACTTTTATGAGAGGATCTTCTTAAAGCTGAGGCCACCTCCATTGAGAATTTGACAATATAAAATGCATATGGACAGGACTAATAAGTTGTTTTTGGACCATATAAGATAATATATCAAAAAGTTAGTTGGAGAAGGATAATTTTCAGTAAATGCAGAAAGTTGATGTTATCATAAGTTGAATGGTTGAACCTTTTCTCAAGTTATTTATATCTGTTCTAGAAAATACCTGTGATATTTGTTTGTGTATGTTTTTCGCTATGCATGTCTTTGATATTTCGAACTGGTGATTTGTTCCTTTCCTATTTGACTTGTCAATATGCTTCAATTCTGGCATAACAATTCCTTTCATTGTTTTATGTACAAATCTGGATTAAACTACTATTGTTTCCCTGAGTTCAGAAACATGTTATGCTCAAATGTGCAATTCGATGCCAACTCTTTTAATAGTTAATATTGCTTATAAAATCTCCATTTCTTTACATTGGCACTTCATGTCAAATTTAAAATCATAAATAGGAGAGTGGTTTTATTTTTTATAAGAATTCATCTGCATATCTGCTACAAAGACCCAACAATATTATTGACTGCTTACCTGTGGTTCTTTTTGGACCCGCTACATCTGGAGAATTTCCTGGGTTAAATTCTTGAGCACCACCTGCACAATGCAAACCTAGAACCTCTTTAGTTGGAAGATGGGAATCAACTACCAGGCTATGGCCAGATTGGTTTATGTAGGAAAGCCGTTGATGACTGACATCATCGAACATTTGCTGTTTTTTTTTTCAGGTTGTTGCTTTTGTATTGGAGGCGTTCTTTGCTGAAATGGAACTTGAATCAGCCTCTGAACCACAAGAGGAAAAGGTATTTACACATCAAGTTGTTCTATACCTTATAGAAAAGAACAGAAATACTCTTATATTCCAAAATGTAGATTTACCAGAAATCACTATGGACAATCTTCGGTGGGCATGAAAATGTGAAAGTTATTTTTAGGCACTTCAAGTACATGAAGCACATTTACGGTGTACTTAATCTTATGTGCAGTCAAACTTATACACACCAACCAAATGCATGCACTTAACCTCAAAGAAATGAATTTTCATAATCAGGGAGCTGAGATACTTCTCAATGTAGTTTTTGTTAGGCTTGTGAGTGTCTTATTATTATTTGCTCACTGATGCAGTCCACAGTTGATTCTGCGGCACAGTTTCTGATAAAGTTTCATAAATAGTTCAAGTGGGGGACATCAGTTCCATTTGATGTTCAAGTTTAGATGGAAATATAGGTAACATGGTCTATTGTACCAATTTGACAATTCTGTGCAGATCATGTCTGTGGTCACTTTGGTACTTTGGTTCATCTTGTAAGTATCGGTCTCTTTATCACCAAAGATAATGGTCTAAAATCTAAATCTCAATAAGATTTCACTGATGCTCATTTTGGTAACATTCATTAACTGGTTCCCTAAGATAATTTGTTGTAAGCTTTATTTTGTGAATATACCTTTTTAGACATTGATTTGTTGAAACAGGAGGATCCTGCAAAGAAGGAGCGACGTCGACGAGTTGGGTAATACTCTGCCTAGTTCCTGTGTAATATTGATATACTTGGTCGAGCAACCATGGCTTAAAATTTCATTTTGTTATTATGAAGTGTGAAGACAAGGAGTCGCACAGTTGACATTCTTCTTCATCATATGCTAAGTGCTGAACTAGACTCCCAAAGTTGCGAAGCATAGTTTCACTATTCCCTGGTAAATATTTTTAATATGTTTCTCTCGTATGTTAAATCTTTATAACTTCTTTTACTTTTGTATAATTGTCATTGATTAGTAAATATCTTTTTATTAGCAATCAAAATACTATTTCTCACATGTAATTTGTGTTTCATTTTTAATGCAAGTCATGTCACATAGTTTTTATTTTAAAGAATCATCCTTTAAAGCAAGGTATCCAATATCATATCGTACCGGTGTTTGGAGGTTGACTTGGTATGATACGGTACCATGTACCGAGCGGTACGCTAAGGCATACTGAGCGGTACACCTAATTTAGGTGTAAAATCCTTTGAAAATATCTTTAAAAAAAAAAAGTTAGGATAGGGGTTTTAAGTTAGAAATAAATATTGTAATAGCATAAGTTTAGCAAAATTAATGTAAATTAGGTAAGAATATCACATATCTTTTTCGGGCTTTGAAACATATCTTGTGCAAGATTTGTATTTCAGTCTATTACGGATTATCCTTATGTAAATATTGAAATATCTATAGAAAAATCATTTGAATTGTTAGACTATTTTGTTACAATATAAACTCTAAAATTAAAATGAATTAAATAATCACATATGTAGATATATCTTATTGCTAATTCTACCACCAAAACGAACGACGGGCTTCCACGGGTGATGGATCGGGGTCCTCGATCCTATACATTTGCATATCAATATGATATGTTGGACCCAATCATGAAATTGATCCCATGACATCGTATATTGATATACCGTATGCCATTGATGCATCAATGTGATGCTGATCGCAGGCTGATTGTCATGAATCATATTTGTCCGAGGCAGCACTTGAGGCATATATTAGTGAATGTCAGAGCTTTTACTTTCGCTACTGATTTGCTGCTCTGTATCATGCTGTTGCTCAGAGAAGGATGACCAACTATCACCATACTACTGTTGCCCATATGATTCTCCATAATACGATGGCTATGAATACGATGAGCTTCTTTATGTGTCTATATCATGTAGGCTTTGTCGTATCTGCTCAAATTCATCCATTGTCTTTCCCTTCCCCTTCCCCTTCCGCGCATAAACTTGACCAGTACCTTATCGCGTTCCATGATCTAAATCTTGGGTGGCATGTGTAAAATATTGCTCCTTAGTCCATGCACCACCCTCAAGTTGTGTAAACGAGATCAACGACTGCCCATCATCATCGCCATCATCCGTCGAGACACTGTTGTCCGTGTTACTGTCATGTCTCTGGACCGAGCGAGTTGATGAATGTGATTGTGAAGGTGTCTCGTCACCTAACTCGATTCTTTCCTATGATGCAACTGATGCTATTGCCTTCCCCTTTGTCTTTGTACGCTGGGCGAATGACTGTTACCGTTGGGTGTCTGTAGTTCCTCGAGCAATTTGACTTGATGTTGTTTGACTCCTTCCACGTTGTGATCAAGAGGGATTTTCCACCTGTTGGGGTTATGCTTCTTCTTCTTCTATTGCCTCGGTGATAAAATATGAAGGACGTTGAGGACCTCCTGCCTCATCAAGTAGAGGATCCTCTTGGTTCTCTGCTGCTTCAACCCAATCTAACATTGGCTCTGAATCTTTGTTGTAGAATTGGAGGTCAATGGGATCAATATATGGTTCCTTTGGCTCCTCCTTATCCAACTCAGCACATCGTAATCTTAGCCGTATGTTATAATGGATATATACTAATTTCTCTAACCGTCTATAGGAGAGTTCGTTGCAGACCTTCGTGTTAATCAATGCAAACGTTGACCAATTACGTTCGCAACCATTAGATGTTGTTGTCTATGAAAGTACAAGAACGACAACCTTCCTTAAATGTGGTGCATCCCCTCCAAATTATAGCCACCACTCGATTGCAAAAAGATATAAATAATATTTTATTAGCATAACAAATAATTAACATTAAATATAATTGATAATCAATATGTATAACTTTTCCTCACCATGATCCATAGTGTAACAACACGATATAGCTACAATATCGAAGAATGAACCAATTGTTTCTCGAAATAATCGACCCTCCATAAGAGCATCGGTTGCATCAGTAGTGTTTGGCAAGATCCAATATATAACATTTCATAGTGTAGTTAGTAAATCATTCTGCGTTCCGAGAGCATATCGATATTGAATTGTCGGGTTTATATAATACGCTGCAAGACATAATTTTGTTAGTATGATTTTTTATTATATAAAAAATAATAAATTAAATTATTCTGAATATGAATTTACCTGCATTATGGATATCTTGATCCATATGAACTTCGGTCCGACGATCAATGATCCGTCCATATTGATCGGCCTTAAAATCATCTTTGAATGCTTTCTTGACTTCCTCTCTTGCTGAAATCAGTATATATTTAAAATACAGCATATGTGGACGCTTGTCCATATCAACCTTATGGAGGACAATATAAAGTGGTTCTACACCTTTTATGATTTCTGCTGTAGTCTCCCAAAATCTAGAGGAAAGAATAGACTTTTCTATCTTCTTTCCATCGCTCTATCTCGAATATCTGGATTCATACCACTCTTGTGAGGTGACCATTGCCTTCAAGTCATGCCTTTTTTGCTATAATGGCTTTATTGCAATAAAATTGGTAGCAAACCGAGTAAATTCAGGTCGGAGCATCTCACCGTTTACATACTTTTGCATTAAAGCGTGGACCCAGTGATGATTATATTTAAACTTTGTAATTGACTGTGCTCGTGCTACACAATTCTTGACCATCCAACTTATCAATATCCTTCAGCATTAGATATATGCAATGAACTGCACATGGAGTCCAAAATAAAGTTTTTCTTTTTTCCATCTATTGCAAACCAACATTTTTGAAATTCTCTCCATTGTTGATTATTATTTGGACAACATAATATGGTCTAATCTCCTCTATTATAGTGTCCATCAAGCTCTCAATGTAGTTTGCATTTTGGATCTTTTTAGAAGCATTAACGGACTTATGAAACACTATTCTTCTATTGCAATAAACAATAAAGTTGATGAAACTCATTCTTGTTGGTCATGTCCAACTGTCACACATCAGTGTCACCCCATATTCGTCTCATTGCCTCTTGAAGGATTTGATCCAATCCTTTAGTTCTGCCACCTCCTCATCTAAGTACATGCCGTAAATCTCCTTCGGTGTTAGAGGTTGGATCCCCGTGCCAGACTTTTAAATAGAAGAGACTATGCTTCGATAATATGGACCTTGGGCTGTGTTGACTGGAATCCTGTGGAAGTTGAACCATTTTGAAAGTGCCTTCCCAATATCCCTTTTTTTTTTTCTTTTATGTATGCATTGTCAATCTGTGTCTGTTTCGCTGTTTGTGGGGGATAGGCTTGTGGATCAATATCAACAATATCTAGTGCGGACCTCCTGCCAAGACCTCTCATAAAACCACGGAGTCCACCATACCTTATGCTACTAGTTCAACCTAACTGAGAAGGAGCAGTTGGCTGCCTCATGTTGGCCGACCTTTAGATTCCACTACCACTGTCATGCTCTAATTGTGAGTTAGGTCGTCGATGTCTCATTGCTTCATCGACTGTATACTGATACTCCAATGATGCACGAATCCTAGTTGTGAGATCCGGGTCGACTTGATTGCCGCAACCCTCATACTGATCATAAACTGGTTCCTATGTAGCCCTATAATATTCTTCCTCAACTCTTACCTTCTTTTTTAATATATCTTTCTTTGCTTGTTGTTGCTTACTTTGAAATAATTTACGGATCTCCGTCGGAACCTTCTTACATTTTGCAACATCAGAATACCCGCCAGCCAAATGCATTTTCACCCTTGTTATTCCTCCACTCTTGCCAATGTAGTCACAATAAATACGTTACCAACAATGATGGTTCACATCTATCTTTCGGGCATGAACCCGTGCATCATCATGTGGTTGTTTTTTTTTGTCATGATCCTATCAAATTTAAATCAAATAAACTATAAAGTATAAACATATTGAATTGACTAAATATCGATAAAAAATCACTAATCACAACATTAAATAATTTTATTAAAACAGAATTAATCATATTTTATCATCATAAATATGTTACATATATAAAAGAAGCATTGAATACATAATTTTGATCTAATATGATTCAAATTATGATAAAATCATCATTAAAATGACTAATCATAACATTAAATAACTTTAATAAAACATAATTAAACCTATTTTACCATCATATATATGTCAAACATATAAAAGAAATATTACATATATAATTTTGATCAAATATGATTCAAATTACGATAAAATCATCATTACATACACTAATTATATGATTAACATAGTTAATTTCTCACTAATACTTCTCTTTCAACACTATAAACATAACAAACACCCTAATAGGTATTAAACACATTGAATTGACATAAAATCGAATAAATTTTGATTAAATCATCATTAAAATGACTAATAGCAACATTCAATAACTTTAATAAAACCTATTTAAATTTATTTTAATATTTAATATGCATGAAATATAAATATTTAACCTTAAGTATCTAATTTCGAATTAATCAATATTAAACACACTAATCATAATATTAAAGATCTTAATTACTCTCTAATTAAAGAAAGAGAATACATACCTCTTGATTAGAAAATTTTTCCTCTTAATCTTTCCAAATTAGTCTCGATTGAATTCACAAATCATTGTTTTGTAAAGTTTAGGAGAGCACAAACATGAGAAAAAAAAGATTTTGAGATAGTTTAATAGAGTATGAAAATGTTGAATTCACAAATCATTGTTTTGTAACGGACGGTCCACGTATCGATATGTCGTCGGACCGGTACATATCTACCTGTAGTAGACGGTACCATTCGAAATTACATATCTTACTTTAAAGTAACAAAATGTTTATTTTAAGGAAGGACAGTTTTCTCACTTCTTAAACTCTCTGTTTGCCACGTCAGTAAGTACTAAG